GTGCTTTATGTTTAAAGCATGTTTACTATTTCGTTATATAGTAAAGTATATGGTACAAATTTTATGTTTTTTTATCATATTATTGGATTTTAAGGACCTAATAACATTATTGCAGTATGTATGAGCATACTTTTTGCTCTATTTATGATAAATTTGGTTTGGATGATTTGGTTTCTTTTATATTGATTTATAAAGTATTAGTTGTTTACATGTTTCATAGGATCAAAGTGAGTCTGGTTTCAGTTGTACCGGACCGTTCTAGTATTTACCATTTATTATATGATAATTAAATACAAATAAACTATGGATATAACTAGCATTTTATCGTTTTAATAATTTATTCTGAAAATGGAATACAAAATAATATTAAATATAGTCTTCCCTGTACTGAATGTGAAGAAATTTGTGTCTGTATATATTTAAAATAGTGGGACTCTAAAGCCAAGAATAGTACTTCAGTAACATAATTTTAATGTGTTAACATATCAAGTAACAAATATTAAATCTTATACATATTTGAAGTCTAAAAATATGGCTATATAATACTTTTAAAGCTTTTCTAATCTTCTTCAAGATACGGTCTGTCTGTTGATTCTCTTATACCTTTTAAATATATCGAATTGATGCTTGAGAATTTGTATATATGATGTAATAGAAAAGAGAACAGAATTTGGATTGCATACTTTATATCTTGTTTATAGATTCGATTTATTTTTTGTGCATTGATTGCATTGGCAAAAAAACATTAAACAATTGCGATCCTTAACTTGTGTTTGTAGAGAGAATGAGCTAGACGTATAGCAATGAGTTTGGCAATTATTGTTTAGGATGAGAGTATATCACGTACGAGTATTATTATGATATGATATGATATTATGTACGGGTTTATGAAAAACAAAAACTGAAGATTCGAGTTCTGGCCGTTATAACACATATATTTATGATTGAAAGACAGATTAAACAGATTATGCTTGCTAATCGAAGAACCACCATGGGAGACGTATGCATATGAATGAATGGTAGTTACATTTGTAGTTCATGATTAATTCACTGTAATCGGGCAACCATTCATTCTACAAACGTATTACCTTGTGATTTTTTTATATTTCCTGAAGTTAGGAACCCTAAAAAAGTTAGAACACTTTTTTTAAAATGGTTAACTGTTGTGGTATAATTGCAAAAATTAAGTCAGAATTAGTTTGAAGAGAATGAAGTTAATATTGATGACTGAATAAAAACTATTTGAAAAAATTAAATGATCGTTACCGTTTGACAACACTTTGTATATATAGTTCTGTATGTTTACATTATACTTATGCTCTTGTAGAGATACTTTGAACTGATACTGAAAAGATTTGCATATTCATTAACAGAATTTGATGCGACTACCATATTACGGAGTCAAGGATTTTAATTAGCATTTTATTTAAAAGGAGTGCAGATGTTTGGTCAACAAATTGTATAGATTTCATAGGATAGTATCAGCACTCAAATGCAGATTAATTACAATAACATAAGAATTATCAAAAAATTAATTAATTAATATTGTAAAATTATATCTATGAGACTCGTAACAAGTTTTATTAAGTTTAAATATTAATAATTAGTTGACGAAAGATTTACATATATGTTTACTTTCTTTCAAATCATTATTTTAAAGACTTTTGATCCTTAACGAAAGTAAAGGATTTATCTTATCTTTGATGATCTTTATCATTAATTAATGTTTAAAAATTTACTAGATTTAAAAAATATATATTTAGTAAGAACAAAATTTAATTAATAGTAATTATAATTATAATAATTAAGTGGTGATGTTTTTCTCTAGAAATTATTGAATAGTTTTTTTTAACCTTTATATTTATTATAATTATTAAAATATAATAATGTGATGAAGTGCATATTATATATTTATATTTTAAAATAAAAATTTATCTTTATATTCTTTTATAATCTATAACCTTTGGAATAGAAAATTTGGTTCGTGCTGAGCTGAATAGCTGTATAATATGAGTAATAATTCATAATTTGTTGATGCAAATTTGACACGCGAGTAGCAACCGCATACTAAAGTATCAGTAAATATAGATAAAATATAATTTATTTCAAAAGCCATTAGCTAAGACCTTGACAGCTAAATAGAGCTAATGCATTAGTAATTAATACGTACTTGATAACTTGGGATAACCCAATAGCTCACTATATTTTTATAATTTTAAACATAGTTGTTAGTCTTTATTAGAACCATGAATATTGTGACTATTCATATATAATAGTATATTGCAAATAAAAAACAATTATTCAGTATTCAATTTTAATGAATTCTAAGTCATGTTTGCACCACACAAATAATAAATTAAAGTAGAAAATAAATATTAACTTAAAAGAATTTAAAATTATATTTAATATCAGTTAAACGGAATTTCCCAGTGTTTCTTGTTTATATTCATATGTATCTTCAAGATAGTATTTTTTACTTCTTATTTTTGAAAGAGTTAAAACTATATTTTCCTATATTTATTCACTAAACATAAAAACAATTATAAATAATTGTTTATTGTAGTTTTATTGCTCTTTCTATAATCAAATTTTTCTGAGTCAGTGGTGAAAACATTTATAAAATTACATATATGTTCGCATTTTAAGTTAAATATTTTTTTTATTTATGATTTCACAAGTAAATAACATATACGGAAAATAAAGCGGACTCATATGTTTGCGTACGTTCAGACCAAGTGAGCGCCGTCATTGTTGGCCAATTACGAAATTGGCCGTGTTTGGAGTGAGTAATCTTTCAACAATTTACTGATTGGAGACAGATTGAAAGATACTTTTTATTCGCATTACATCTGGCTGACTTAGCCGTTGGGTAACCATTTTGAACCAGTTTAAGCTGAAGTTACGTGACGTCACAATATATAACTTTGCTAAGCTGTAATTTTAACTTGTTTTTACATTCATTATTATAGTTGTTATTGGCACTCACCCTTACTTTATTATTTTCGTAATAATGATGCTCATACTATGATATTATTACTCTTGTTATACATACTCTACTATGTATTTTAAAGACTTTTAACTGTTTGATTCATATATGTTTCTCTGTTTCAATGATCGTCAGGCACAAGATACTTTTAATAATTGAATTTTTGCAATTATTGCAACAGTGAAATGCAAACAACACAACAAAACAAACCGTTTTTCCTTTTATCTGCAAACTTTCACTTTTTAGTCTTTTTACATTGCAAAAATAATGTTAATAAAATTGAAATTTAAAAATTGAAATTTAAAAAAGTTTTTACGACTTTGCATTTATGCAGTTTAAATTATTAAGAAAATGGTTAGAGATGCTTTTATTTTGATCTACTAATATTTATTAATATTAGCTTATTTGAAAAAATGAGTTCAGCTTGTCCTGTAAGTATTATTCAGTGTTCTGATGAGCTAGAGTTTAAAACGGCCATATAGATTACGACTTGAAATAACAAGTAGGCGTGCCAGATACCGTGTTTGCTGGATATTGGAATCGTGCAAGAAATTGCAATGAGCAATGGAAGTATCCATACTAGAACTGTCAAATATATTGCAGATCTTTTACGATTGACAAGACCAGCTTGAACTTGTTAATAGAAGTACAGTAGAATTTTGATTTAATCAATATTAGTACGAATTTTCTAAATAATATACAATTTTAAAACTTTCACTGATTATTTTAAATTGGAACACACTAAAATCATAGAGAATTTAGAGAGAACTAACATTAAATAACGAATGTTATATATAAAATTTATTTTTTTAATGTTTTATGTATTAAAACTTTTTATCATTATATTGAATGTAACTTTCAGTTTACTGGATAGTCTTTGATCAAAACAAAGACCACTATTATAAATTTTCGTAGAATTTATGGAAGATAAGGATGCAGTGTATAAAGACAAAAATTATGCATAAAGTTAAGATGTTCCATTGAACATGGTTTATCATCTAATGAAATTATTTCAAGTGCTTACCGTGATCAGTCAGTCAAACAGAAGAACTGACAGCGTCTGGAATGAGAAATCAAAAACGGTTAATTCTTGATATTACAAAAATCTTTTTGATAATGTTTTGTTTGATAATGAGAATACTTGAAAGTTGTCCTAGAATGACCAATTAGAAGAATATCTGTTGCGTGGTATAATTCTGGAAAAAACCCAAAGAATATGTTTTTGAATTTTTATAATGCATTTCTGTCATAAGCATTAAAAACGTATAATCTATATATTAATAAATTAACTATCTTCATATATTCTACTTTTGCTATTAAATAATTTAGTTGTAATCTTTCAGCACAAGTGTTGAGATCAATGACTCTTATGTCTGTCATTGGTAAAGTCGACGTCCTCATTTTTTTTCTATTTACTCACAGTAATACGAATATTTGCAATTATCTTAAAACACGAATTGACAACTACTGTAATCTTATCGGAGAGTTCAAAATGATCACTTTTAACTCCATTGCTACGCAGTAGTTCAAAGTTGTCTTCAGAGTTTAGTTGTCACACCCAAGTATTGAGACAAGGTTCCATAATTTGTTTAGTGCACCCAGCACCCACGAGTATCACGAGTATCAAAATCAGTAAATTCCAAAGGAATGAATAGTGATTTATTTTAAATAAAATTCGTGGATAAACTAATAAATTGATAAATTGTCTGAAGTAAATTTTTATGTGTTTTCTGATCTATTGTGTCACGTCTTGACACTAAATTAAATTTGTGAAAAAAGCTAAAAAAAAACCCGAACTTTTTGGAATTCGTTATGCAAATAATTTTTGATGCGAATAAAATTTCAAGCTTGCCACACATTTTTATGCTGTCTTCATAAATTAAGTATTCATCGACTGGACAAGGTCATTCACGTGTTGTGGTTTGGGATTAAAATTTTTTTTAGAAAAATATTAAGAAATATGTAATATCAATCATATATAATTTTTTTTGTAACAAATACTTTATTGTTTCAGTAAATAAACACCGAAAAAACAATAAAATGATGGATTTGTTCTGTTGCTTTCTGCTGGGGTTAGCAGTATTTACCACTACTTCAATTGCACAAGAAAATTGTTTATCGGACAATAGTATCACTCCTCCAACGAGAGTTGGACTTGTCTCGCAATTATATAAAGGTCAACAGGCCTTTACAGTGTCCATGTTAAATGCGATAACAAAAGCCACGCCAAATGAAAATATCTTCTTCTCACCGTACAGCACATATCATGCCTTATTGCTTGCATATTTTGGTTCTCGTACGCATTCCGAACAAGAATTGATTAAAGCGCTGAACTTAGATTGGGCTAAAGACAAAAATCAAGTGAAGAGTGCGTATGTAATCGAAAAAAGTAATAGGTTTAATCGCGCTAAAAATTCGCCAATACAATTCGCTTCAGCCGATAAAATTTTCTTCGATAACAGAATAACACTTAATAAATGTATGCTTGATCATTTCGTCGATGAGTTGGAATCGATGGATTTCAAAGGAAACTCAGAACAGTGTCGCGTTGAAATTAATAGTTGGATTGCCAATGTAACACAAAACGAAATCCCTGAAATGCTCGCAGCTGGTGATGTAACATCCGAAACAGAATTGGTATTAGCGAATGCCGCCTATTTCAAAGGGCAGTGGGAAAGTCAATTCGATCCAAAGGCTACAACACGTGATGTTTTCTTTACAACACCAAAAATTCAGTCCCTTGTGCCAATGATGCATAAGCGTGGTACTTACAATTTGGCAAATGATGAAAATTTACAAGCATATGTTCTGGATATGCCTTACAAAACTTCAAATAACGATGAGAAAAATTCTGATATATCAATGATTATCATTCTGCCGTCATTTGAGGAAAACAGTTTGGAACACGTTTTGGAGAAACTTACACCTGAGTATTTAGAAATAGTGCTTAAAGATGGTTTGGCCCGTGAAATTGATGTTTCATTACCAAAATTCGAGTTCGAACAAAAATTAGAACTTGTGCCGGTAAGTATAACATATAATATATTTACAAATATTTGATTATATTTTTTAATTTAATCTTACTATTTCGTGATTTTCTAGATATTACGCAAAATGGGAATTAATTCGATTTTTGATCGTAATGCTGACTTGAGTGGATTTGCTCCAGAAACCATTAACTTTGGAGATGCTAAACATTTTGCTAAAATTAAAGTTGATGAAGAAGGCAGTACTGCTGCCGCAGCCACTGTACTTTTCAGTTTCAGATCGGCGCGTCCTTTAGAACCCACCAAATTCGATTGCAATCATCCCTTCTTGTTCCTAATTTATGATCATAAATCAAAAGCTGTGCTCTTCACAGGTATTTATCGTGATCCAAAGACACGAAAATAATTAAAATTATTTAATTACCTAACTATTAAAATAATTTTATTTATACAAGTCAGATTTATGTAAATTATTATCGCGTTAATTTGTATTTTCAAGTTTGTGTTGTAAGTTAAATTAAACTGTTTCTTTTTTATAATAAAAAATGACAAACAAAATTGTAGGAAAACAATATGATTTTTAATTTATAAAAAAATGTATATGCCTTTTAGTATTAAAATATAACTGTTGCTTGAAAAGGATTTCGAATTAAAATTCTTTTCAAATATTAAAAATAAAAAATAATTGCATTCATTTAAAATTCATTTTTTTTTATTCAACAACATTTTTGCATACTAAATTGATTAAATAAATATTTTGCTAAAGGATTTATAGACATTCAAGTTTTGTACTTTCGAAATGCATTTTTACATCCTTTCATACTGAGTAATTTACGTATTTTGAAAAAGCCTTTTTTTTCATATATTCAGAGTTTTTAACATTATAATTTCAGATTTGCTTATAAATAACTCGCACGTACTTTTCGATACGTGCCATTAATTTTAATTTTAATTAAGTAATTTTGCCAAACAATATTTTTAAAAATTCAAAAAACAAAAAACAAAAAATAATATTCATAAAAAATTATTTCGTTATAAATTTTTATATCATATCAATTTCACATAAATAATTTTTTGGCGAAAATAGTAAGAAATATGTATATAGGTATATAGCAATAAATGTATAAAAAAAATTTACAAAAGATCAAAGATCAATATTTTTATAAATACCAGTAGATAACAATAAGCAAATACAATATTTTGTTAAATATAAATAATATATAAAAAATATGATACATAACTTTACATATTATGTGTACAATATATATGCTTAATATATATAATATATATTATCTTGCATTTACACTGTGCAAATTTAGGGCAATATTATTGCATACAGTGGATCGCTTTGGTCGAACAAAAGTATATTTCGGATATTAAAATACCAAAGCTTCTAACACATCAAATAATATTTGAAATAGTAATCTATTTATACTATTATGTATTCATTTATCTATTATTATTATTGCTCTTTAATAATAATGTACGTTATTTTTTTTTTCCATTCATAATTTGAGTATTACAGCATTGCTATATTAGCAAATAATAGTTTAATCGTTTTCAATTTAAAATTTAATATCATTATATTATATCATTCAAATTCTGTTTATATTTTAATAGATTATAATTATTTAAATCCATTTATATTTGTATAAATGTATATTTACATTTAAATATCCACAAGATATTGCATGCTTTAACAAGTATCTTGAAATTTATAATTTATCAAAGGTAAAATGTATTAAATTTTGGTAGAAATGTCAGTAGCATATTTTATAATTTTCAATCGATTTAGAATTTAATAAACATTACAACGATTGCATATACTAATACAGTGATAAATTTCAATTATATACAAAATTATTGATATTTTTCCAAAACATAAAACAAATTTGTCAGATTTTAATATAATTTTACTACAATATTACATTAAACACATATTTAATTTATTTTATATATTCACAAAACAAATATTATTTATAAATAATATTATTAAATATATTTTAACAAAAAATGTAATATTATTTAAATAAATTCTAAATTACTTTTGAATACAAATCGTAAAACAAATTTAAATTTAAAATTACACGGAATTTTTTTTAGCAATTTGTTAATATATGTGCTGTTTTATTATATGAATCTAATGATATTTGTTTTATGTTTTTTGCACAAATTAAAGAGCAATATTTTCAACAAAATAGTGTAATTTGCATGTCATTAGATAATAAAATTTTGTTCTATAGTAAAATTAACGTCATGGATTTAATTTATATAGAATTTTATATACTATTATTTTTGAATAAATAGAAGAAAGGCACTTTATATCAGTTGATTCTTGACGGCACAGAAAAATTAAATTAAATTTTAATATAAACAAAAACTAATAATAAGTATGTTATGTATATCTACTAATTACTAACAGACATAAGCCATTTAATTTAAATCCTTTTATAATTCTTTTTGTAAGTAAATTACTCATTTATGTTATGTATGTCAAGTACTTAAATGTCATCTGGTTGTACGATGAGTGCGTACAATGCAAATCCTAGAAATACAATGCCACCGACAATGGTAACGGTACGCACTGATATTTTAGCAGCAACAATGCGTCCACCAATTACAGCTAAGCCAGTGCAAATAGAGTGACCAATAATACCACCAACAGTGACACCATACACATTCTGAAAAATAAATATTCATTTATATATATAAATTTTTTTTTCTAATTTCAAATAAAAGCTATGCTGCCAGGTATAAATGGGATATTCAAAATCTTGAAAGAATATTTGATTTCTTAATATATAATTAAATTGTTTTTATAATATAAAATTTTCGATAGACTGCTTCTACTATTTTGTTCGCCAATTCCGTCTTTTTGTTACATAACAAAGTTGTGTTCTGCTCCAGTAACTTTATATATATCTTCTGATCAAAAAAGAACGAGAGGCCTATTTTCGAATTCCAGCGCTAATCCAATCGGTAAATTTTTTTATTTTCACGCTGGCAACACTATTATACACATTCTATCAATGTTTAACTCATATCGTACTATTAGTTTTTGTTTGGCGTCTATAAAAGTCTAAAAATTTTCGTGTGGCGATTTTTATAATGGATCAAAAATTAGAACAACGTGCGTGCATCAAATTTTGTGTTGCAGGTGGATTCAAGTATGCCGAAACTGTTAAACAATGTTAAAATTGATTTGTGTGTCGCAACCACGAGTATACGAATGGTTTAAAAGGTTCAAAGACGGCCGTACAAGCTTGGACCATGATGAGATCTCTGGCCGCCCAACAACATCTGTTACTAAAGAAAACATTGAATCGGCGAAGCAGATCGTGTTGGATAATCGTTGCGAACCGATTAGAGAGATTGCAGTGTTGTTGGGTATCTCATATGGATCGACCGAACACATTTTAACTGATGTTTTGGGTTTGAAACGCGTCGCTTCTCGGCTGGTGGCAAAAAAGCTGAATTTCATTCAAAAAAAGCTGCAGTTTTCTCCATCAAACCTCCATTAATATCATCAACAAAGCACCGTACTCTCCAGATATGGCCCGTGTGTTTTTTTCGTCTTCCCTCGACTCAAATTTCCATTGCGAGGAACGCGTTTTGAGACCATAGAGGCCATAAGGTAAAAATCGCCACACGAAACTTTTTCGACTTCTTTGTATAGACGCCAAACAAAAACTAATCGTACGATATGCTTGTATGCGTATACGATATGAATGTATATAATAGTGTTGCCAGCGTGAAAATAAAAAAAATTTTCCGATTGGATAAAAATTAAAAATTAAAGTCCTTTTTTAATCACAAGGTATAGTTAGTACATGCTTCCTATATCAAAACGCCACAAACGTTGTAGGTGACTCATTGTTCAAAGATATGAACACATTTTAAAGGGGTGTAGTCTATTTTTTTCTGTTATAGATATATTATTTTACTGAAATGTCTATCAGTAAAAAGCCTTCAATAATAAAGTTTAAATTATTCAAATACAATTTAAATAATTTCTTTTTAGAAAAAGACATAGTAAATAGTTCCCTTTAGATGTTATTTTTAGAAAAACTGTGGAAAATATATTTACAATTGAATAATAGAAAAGTGAAAAATATATTTGGTTTTAAGGCTAAAATTCCGAATATACAAAAATAAAATCAACTGTAATATTCACGTCTATGAAATAAAATAACACATTTGACATCAAATCAAAAGATAGACTAAAAACTGGTATTGGTATAACTGACGTTATTTTTAAATAATTTGCATCTCAGTTAATATTGATAATGGACCGGGTCCCTTTCAATACTGTTTTTGTTATCAAAACAAATCTTAGATAACAAAAATGTTTTTGTTATCTAAGACAAATGGTAACCTCATTTATATATTTTTAATACAAAATATCCTGTATACTGCCAGATTTAATTTAATTTCGTCTGTATGAAATAAAATAAAACTTAATCCTAAAAACTAATTTTTTTTATATTCATAAATAAATATTATTTAAAATTCTTTTCTTATCTAATTAGTGGTTTTTAAGGAAAGAAAAGTGTATCATTTACAGGTATTGATTGGTATGTAAACACTTTATATATATATGTATAATTTTTTATATACACACTGTTTTATAATTTATTATATAGAGAATGTTTATTCAAAATTTTTATAATTTCTCCGAAGTTTTAATGGTCTAAAAATTTGTACATGACTTTAATCATATACAAAATATGGACTAAACCTTTTTCAGCTAGATTTTTCTTTGATACCCTGCACCTCGGTTAGCATTGGAAATTAACAACTGCTCCCATAGATTTTTGTGTTATTTTGTATTTAGCTAGATAACATCTTATTATATTCAGCATAGTTATATACATACAGCGACAAACATAATTATTGCATTTTTAGCACTGTTTTTATCCCACTAATGATGCGATTTTTGATTAACAAACATTTTTTTAGATAAAATGCTTAACCTGCAATTAAATTCATTTTATTTCATTATATTATCTCTTACTTTTAATATATGAAAATTAAGAAACCAAACAAATTTATTTTTGTTAATTAAAAATCGATATTCTTAACGGGGTAGAATAAACGGGTGCTAAAGGTTCTATATGCTTGTCGTGCCATTAATAAAGTTCGTCACTGTTTATATATATCCTTATTTATGTTCGAGGTAATTTACCTTACTAGCAGCCAAAATAATTGTTGTCAATTGAGAACGATCACCCCATTCTGCTAAAAATGTCATAGTAAAAGCTTGCATCAAAACACGTAACGTCAAATAGGTTGCACCTTTTTTCGATGCCTTACGTACAACTCCACTTTCAGGATCTTGTACCAGAGTAGCGGTAACATCACGTTCCAGCTGTGAATAATAATTTAAGCTTTTTTATTATTATTATCTGTTAAGAATGTTTAAGTGAATATTTAACAAGAAAGTGTACGAGTATGAGTGAAAAGCGGTGCAGAAAAGAAAATAATGGTTTGTAGTAACAAAACCAATATATTGAAAAAAAAAAAAAAACTAAGAAATTTACAAAAATACATTAAATCATTAATTAAACTGAATTAAAAAAAGTTAAAAATTCAAATATTTTAGGTTAAAAGTAAAATACATAATTAAAAACGATCACTTCTTTGAAATACAATATAAACGTTCCCGCAATTCAAGGCGTTTCAAAGGAAAACATTATTTGCGCCTCAAGCATTAGCAAGAATAATAAAATTTTAAACATATAAAATAAGTATTGTATCTTAGACTTTTTTTTGCATATTATGTGGATTTAATATTTTTACAGCATTATTAAAAATTGTACAAATATTACAAATGTTATGTTTATATTAAGTACACAAACATCACAGATTAGTTTCGAAGCTTAAATTTAGTAAAAAAAATAGACAAACGGCGGAGTGGTGAATTCTTTTTTTTCAAATGGAGCTCTCCGAATTATATATATCTATTAGAAGAAATGAAATATATATATATATCTATATCTATCAATACTTATATATATCTATCAATACTATTATATATATCTATCAATACTTGTATACGATTTCAGGTAATTGACTTGACATTATTATATGTTAGATTTTACAACAGCGTTGAGATGGTGAAACTGTAGTAATAGTACTAAATCAATTATTTCTGCTTTGCGTAAAGCTATTAAGTTTTTATCATATAATATCATATAATCATATAATAATAATATCATATAATAACTGCAAAAATTTATTTAATTTAAATTGTCAGCATACAAAAAAAAGTTATTGATTATTTTTATATTGTATTTCTTCAAGAATTTGTAGGAAGACAATCACAACTATAGCAGCTCATATAACGAAGTTAAACGTAGTGAAAAAAAATGAAAAAATATGAAAAATATCTATAAATAAATAAATTATTATTTATTAAGGAATTTTTATTAAAAATTCAAATTATTAAAGGTAGTAAGATAGTGATAGTTTCAATCTCAACATCTTAATTTAAACCAGTACTTTAAAAATTAAATTAGACTTTTTATAATTATAAAATTTACACTTTTTAAATATATAGTTTTATTTAGAAAGAATATTATTTTATGTTCTATGACAAGAAATCTATTTCGAATAGAAAAAGGTGGTAATGTGAGAAAATTAATAAATCTATAAAAATTTTATTAATCAAGTCAATTTTTGGGAGATCATACAGTTCTGTGTAAAAAATAAATATGTAAAAACTAAAAATTTAACAAAATATATTTATATTAAAATGATTAGTTTTGTATTTAATTATTCAAAGTGCAGGTCAATGATAACCAGACGTGTCTACATTTCTATGTTCTGAATACTATAGTTTATACGACAATATGTTTTTTTTATTGTTAAAAAAAAAAATTTTCACTAGCATTATAGGTACTAATAGGCAATTTTGTATACCTTATAGATATATAACGTAAACAATAATAATAAATAATTTCTTTTTTAATAATTTTTAAAAGAAAATATCAAATGTTAGAAAGGTTGGGTTTAGTTGGGTTTAATTTTGTATTTCTTTGCATCGTAATATACATGAAGCAATATGTTCTTTAAAAACACTATAATGATTTAGACATGATCTACTTTTTAACTCCCTAGTTTTGATATAAATACGAAAACAATTTCAAGTTTAAAGTCCTCGCCTGAAGACAGAATATTTATATATCTCTTGGAAACAAAAATTTGCTTTTAACTATTAACAGTGGCTTAGACAGAATTGTGCAAAGGGGAGTATGCTAGAAAATAGTTTTCTTTAGCAGTGTAAAATCTATAAATTATAGTATCAAAGGCATACATTCTCGATTACTTAAGACTTTAAGACTAGTTTTAATACAATATCTTCTAAATTAAAGAGTAAAGAAGTACTATAAGGAAATTAATTCTTATTCAATTATAGAAAAATTTATTTATTGACAATAATAAACTTTTCATTATATTCGCTTCATTCTTCAAACTTAAATGAATTAAATTTTGCTTAATTTAAGTTACAAATTCTATGAAAATTTTAATGTTGTGTACTATTTTAAGATTTATTGTTATGACTGCGTATTAGTCTTAATTTTGTCTTAATTTTTTTAATATTTTAATATTTTAATTGGTTCGAATGCTTACACATATATTGGTATATTCCTTTAATAAATTTCTTTATTTAGTTTAAATGGTCTAATGCAGAAGTTTTTTATGTTATTAAAATGAGTCGAAATTTAATAAACAATTAAAGAACAACACAACACTATCAAAAATTAAGAAACACATGCTAACAAACACAAAATGTAATAACAAAATTTTAAGGAACAAAATGTGGAGTTCTTAGAAAATGAAAAAAAAAAAATATATATTGAGATATAAGTCAAGTGTGGCTCAAAAGATACAAATGCACTGTGGTGGTGGCACATATGACATACTTTCGTTTATGGATGCAGTACATTTGCATTACTCATTGATGTTACCTACACGAGTATGTATGTATGTGTTTGTGTTAAAGTGATTTGTTTATAAATTTTGCTATTTTTAAATTATGAATTTAGTTTTCTAACCCGCTTTTTGTTTCCGCCAATTTGTTTCAACTCGCCAATTGGCTGTCCAGCAGCTCCAGTTGAGCTGAGACTTAAGTTACTATTATTTATGCTATTAATACTCGTGCAATTGTTTGTGCCAGCAACGTTGCCATTCTTGTTCAACATAACTGCAGCTGAAGCGGATGCAGAATGCACCAACGCAGCAGCTGAATCATCCTTCGATTTTTTGTTATTGTTGTTGTTGCCTTGATTCATATCACCATTGCTGTTCTTAAAATTAAGCTTATTAGAACTATGATTAAAATCATCACAATTTGTTTGGTTTGTTTGATTCGATGAAGCTATCGATGATATGGCAGGACTGCTATGAAAAGTCGACATTTTAATAGAAACACCACCGTTGAGGAAGACATCATTTTCATTGCATTCGTTGCCAGAATCATCATCATTATTGAGATCACAGCCATTATTGTTTATATTATTATTGTTGTTGTTATTGTAATTCGGTTGTTTACGTTGACGATGTTGCATTTCGGTATTTTTAACCCGTTGAGGTAGTGTAGTATTGGACGTCTTGGTAACAGCGCCAGCGCTGTCCACTACACTTCCATCCTCTTTATCTGAGTTGCTATTCTTGCGTTTAGTATCGGTATCTTCATATTTGGAACGTGTTGCACGTAAAAGCTGCATATATGATTTTGTTTATAAACAATTTAAATTTTGTATTTTAAAAACAATTAAAAAATAAATTTTGGTTCATTTTTTTGTAGTTAAACATAAGAAAAACGGTAGAAAACAATTAACGGCTTAATTTAGAAATTATTAAATTATTATTCGATTAAATCAATTTATAAATTAATCTTTTAATTTTGTTAATTTAAAATTTGCAAAAATAAAAAGCTTCATAAAACAAAAAGAAAACTTGTTGGGGAAATGAAAATGAAAGTGTTTTGCAGAATATATAAATATTTTATATACATATTGTTTTTTCATTATTATTTAACGTGCAAAAGTTAGTAACAAATACACAAAAAGCAGATCGTGTATTATATATATACAAAGATATTTGTGTGGACTCACAGAATTGGAATTTGTTTTAGTGAAGAATTTAGCCAATAGTAGTGAGTAGGCAATTGAATTGCACTTATTGCAATTATTAATTACTAAAGTGATTTAATAAAAATTTAAAAAGCTATAAAAATATTTGAGTATACTTTGCAATCAAAAATTTATTCAAAATTAAAGTATTAAACGATTTCTCAACTGCTGATCAGAAGAATTTGTTGCAATAAGCATTATTTTTGTCAGAGGTGCAGCGATTTAATACTGGGATAATATAAGAAATACTATGTAAGTATATATTTTAAGAAAATCGATAAATCTCAAAAAACTTTTTTAAATAAAAATTTTATTTTTTAATTTTAATTAACGTAAAATATAGAGACAGTATTTAATCCAATGTTACATTATGTTATTAAACATGTTGCTAGACCAGGAAATAGTTGTAGTTATTCAGAATTGATAAATGGAAATATCGATTATATAGAAAATATAAAAAGTATCCACCGATTTTTGCCACTAGATTGTACCAGTATCGTGGCAACAGTTATTCAATTATATCCAACGAAAGATGACATTTCAAGCTATATTCTTTGTGAGGATAAACTGCGGAAAACATGTCGAAAAATGTATGTGGTTTACGATGAAGTAGATTGCTCGATTTCGTTCCAAAAATTTCAATGTCGAAAATGCAACCCGCGCTAGACAATCAGTCCCTAAAAAAGTCAATGAAATTTTGGAATTGATGGAGCAACACCTCTATGCAAGTCGTCAGGAGATAGCGGAAGCACAAAACATTAACCACATGACAGTTTGAAATCATTAAAAAGAAATATGATTAATAGAACTACTATCAGTGAAACGCTGCTGATAGGCAACGAAATTGAATTATTTTTGAAGTGAACCATTATAGCCCACAAAAAATGGATTAATTATGCTAATATCCAACGCAAGCGATTATAGTCAACAGCCAGTGCCGTTTCAAATAATAGATTGACGATACACAAGCGTTCATTGAGTGATTGTTGGGATTGGAAGGTAATTGTCTATTACGAGCTGCTTCTTCTTGATGCAACGATTAATTTGGTATTCAACTGTTCATAACTCGATTCCAAGAAAAAAGAGAAGGACACACATCTTGGATGATTCGAAAAAATGGACAGAATTTGGTTTGGTAAATCTGCTTAAAAAATTAAATTTTAGAATATTTAGTATATTATATAGTATTTAGAATTGAAATAAGATGACAGTCATAGAACAATACAATAGACGAATAAATCTTTAGATGAATTTATAGTTTAAAGTATCTTGGTATATTTATAAAACCTTCATCAATAAAAAAAATTGCACACAAGAATGAACCCTAGCAGCGAGTCGAGTATAATATATATCGAATTATGATATGTAATAGTAATAATCATAGTATTGATTGGCAAAGTGTAGCGTAAACTAAGTATATATAAACCATTTAAAAGACCAACATTACTTTACAAAATTGAAGTTTATATTGCGTCTATTTAGGAAAAAAATAAAAATATTTCAGCATAAAACGTACCGCGAAAAGTCTTTCCCTTAATAAAAATGTCAAAACGAAGTTATAACCTGGAATACAAACAATACGAATTTTCGGAATTTGCGATCAAAATATTAGTGTTAAATTAGAAAAATATAGTAAATATCCACATAAAAAATAGATATTTATAAAAATCACATTGTTACCTAACTTGAGTAATGTTATTGTTCGGGTGATCATGAAATTACATCGAGAAGATAACCTGATTTGCATTCACTTAATATCTTCTACCTTAGTTCTTAAAACTTTAGAAGTTACTAATTGGAATACAATGACATTTGATAGAGAGGTATGGAGAAAAGTCCAAAATTTTACCCTGAGCTAAGTGATAATGAAAAGATAGACAAAGACATGCTGAAATACAAGGTCAGTATAGTAGCATTTGGAATTCAAAGAAAAAAATCTGAAGATTAGAAGGACTAATAAATTTTTTGAATGAAAAACGATTTGCTTAAATATAAAATAACTATAAAACAGTATTTTGTGTTCTTGGGAAAGCGCTTGAAGGTGTGAAAAAATTAGAAGAATTTCGTTATATACAAAGTCAGGTTCGTAGTGATGTTCAGAGTTCTTAGAATGAGTACCTAAAGGTTATATAAAAAGGAGAGAAGGTAGTTATTTAATTCTTCTCTGTACAGTGCATATCAACAAATTAATTAATTAATATGATAAATTAGTTTTTCTCTCAATCATTTCTGGTTTTCTTACAGTTTAGAGCGCAATTATATGCATATTTAACGAGCAATCTCGTAATATTTGTAATAAAATTAAGTATAATCATGGCATGTTTTCATTAAACACGTTAAATAAAAAATAGTTATTATAATAAATAATAGTTTCAATTTTGTTTTTTATCCTAAAGTATCGCGTTCAATCAGTGGAATTTGAATTGTTTTATTGTCATATAAATGGTTGTAGTTTGTGATTTGCACCTTAAAGCATTATTAATAAAATTGAAAAAATATTGTCGACAATCTGAACCAATATTTTTCTCACATCCTATAAATATATGGATATACGTATTTATGAGTTAAACTGCTATTATAAGTTTTCCCTACAATTTTATGTACCAAAATATCAATTCAAAGTTTCATAAATATTTTTCAGAAAATATGTATTATAGTGATCCTGTGTTCTGAGTTTATAATACTACTGTTAAAAATTCAATTCAAGTTATTAAAACAGATTGGTAATTTATAAAAATTATAGATACCAATATCTAATCAAAACATAATTATGAACAAAATGCCATATATGATTTTGAACATTTTTAAGTGTAAGATCCAAAATCTAATCAAATATAATTTTAATGTATTTTGTTAACAAAGTGAACAACTAGAACAAATAAATAGGTGAACATATGTACTACTATTACTGATAAATATCTGCTTCTGAAAAAATATTGTTTGAACTCTGTTGGGCTCATGTATTGAATCAGTTAAACAATATATATATAATAACACAAAGCATATATATATAATAACACAGGTAAAAAATTCTTTGAAAGCAATTAGATCACATGAAGTTAATTAGACTATATGTTTTCTTCGGGATATATATTGATATGAAAAAGTTTTGGTCGTTATATTTAAAATAATAATTAAATATTTTTTTGGATAATTGTGAAATAAATAAGCACATAAGAGTAGTTTTGAGTTTTTGGTGACACATATGATATCTAAAAATGTACAAAGGAATCCAAAAATAATATGCATTAATTTAAAGCTCAATATGATATGAAACCAAAAACTATAATACAAAAAATAACTTTACAGAAGTGGTTTGAAATATGGTCTTCAAGAACATAAAAATTAATAATTATTAAATTTTCACCATCATTAATAAATAATTTAATTAGATATTGAAAATATTTTCATTATAACGTGGACTTACTATTTTGGTGGATAGCAAAAATAATGATGTTGAAAACAAAATAAATAGCTTACAAAATTTTATTTGTCAAAATAAACTTGAAACAAACAGTTTACTTTTTTGCATTTTCCAATTAAATTAAGGTTGTACATATAGTATATGACAACTTCGTTGCTATTGCAAATTTGTTGTTTTTGCATTTGCATCATTGATTTTGGTTATTCTCATTAACAGTAGCTCATAACTAAACTCTATTGCATGAAGTGTTATCAAAAAAGGAACGAAAATTTTAAAATTGCCTGCGGTTTGACTAATTCAGGGTCTCGTATCGAAACTAAACACAAAATCGAAAAAATCGACACTTTGAACGGAGCGAAACCCGTAACCATATTAGTTCTGAAAAAAACATGTTGGCTTATTTATGTTCCATACCTTACAGTTCGGTATCTATAATATATACGAACAGTTCTTTATTTCGATAAAACTTTAATGAATGAAAGTTACAAGTTTAAGAATATTTATAAATAAAGAATCAAGAAGTTCGGTTTTTTATCAAATAAATTTGTTAGCTTTTCTTTTTAAAAGCATGAGTAAAACGATTTTGTTCATAAAAAAAAAGTATTTTGTATCCCAGAATTTATAAAAAATAATCATTCGAAAGTCGAAAATGGAAAGAAATCGTTATTTTTGTGGGAGAGAAAATCGGAAACGAACCTTTAATTTCTTTAAATCGAGTGAAAAAAATTTTTTGTTTAAAGTCCCCAAATAGAATCTTTTTATGTAATGGTTTTGAAATAAATTAGACTGTTGTGAGGATTAGTTTGAATTTGACGAACGAAAGAGCAATACAATAATATGATCAAAAAACTCTCAGAGAGATCAGAAATCTTTATCTGTGATAATTTATCACAGCTAGAATTTTGTGCATTTATGCTGAAGAATAACCATTGGAAAATTTGTTATAGACATGAAACGAAAGGTATCAAAATTTGCTCTCAAAATGTACAGAATATATTTAAAGTGGGTGGCACCTTGCGAGTTTTTTGAACGCACAGGAACTTTTAAATACAATAATAAATGCGATAAAGAAACTTGAGTGCACTGGAGTGCTAGATAAGCAGAGAAATTTGTTTTAATTTTAAATAAAATGCAGATTGTAGATAATTACTTAAACCAGTATATATCCATGTGTATGTGTAAAGCATATACAAATTTTGTATATTAACAAAGTTGAAATTGAATGTATTTATATGTGAGCAAGATGATAGTAAATTATTAATATATTTTTTTATTCCATTAAAAGCTAAAAGACTAGTTCAGAGGATTATTATACACATACTATATATATATATGTGCTTATCGTTAGTATTTGCATTTTATATGGTTTTTTATATAGAAACAAAGTAAACACATAGGTATTGTTATAACATCTAAGGTATAAGTAATACGAGTAAACTAAGTAGAACCAAATAAAGAGATCTTGTTCGTATATGACATGATTAAATTGAAAATTACTCGTTTTGCCAGTGTTTGGTCATAAATACATATAACGTAACAGAAAGTTAAGTTGAAGTGAATTAAGAGCTTTGTAGTTCTGTGTGAGAGTATTGCCTTAACATAAGCTTATGATATTTGTTTGTATATACATTTAAAAAAATAAGTTCATTACTTTGTTTACAATTTAATTGCATGAATTATTATTGACATATAATAGTATAACTTTTAAGAATCATTTTAAATTTAGTGAAACATGTATAAGTGCAGTTTAAATGAAAATCTCTTTAAAATTTCAGTCGATAAAAGCTTCTGTATTGAAGGTGATTTGTTTGCACGATTTTTGAGAATGTTTTAAATCAAACACTTTAGGTTAGTTCAACAAGTATGTCTTAAATGTTATGTTTATGCATGAAGTTAAGTCTACTAAGATGAAGTGATCGCACTGCACTAAAGTTAAGTCTACTAAGATGAAGTGATCGCACTGCCAAAACGTGTTGTTTATGTTTTGGTTTAGATACGTAACTCATTTTGCATCTAGGGTTATTGACCAAGTTTAATAGTTAGGTGAAAATAAATTAAAAAGTTAATAACACAAAAGCATATAAGAAACTTAAATAAAAAGCTTTACTTAAAGTAAGTAAACAAATGTTCTAAACTACTTTTTTGCAGTAGGCTTAAGTCAAATTAATACACCAATCAATAATTATCCACAAAATAAATATTTATAAGGAGTACAAAAACTTACCTCATCTTCACGCTTACGCAAGTCCGATTGCACCTCTTCCAGTTCTTCTTGTGCATCACCGGGTTTCATTTTATAACCATCGTATATCATTTTTAAACCGAAAATAGCAAATAACGCCGTTGATATATAATAAGTGTAAACCTTAGGAATAATAGTAGCCGCCATGCCAAATACAACTGAGAGTACGGTCATTAATGCCAGTGCTGATATGGCGCCAGTAAAAACAATCAACCGTGGGTGTCGCATTGCCATTATAGCAGCTATAAAGAATGTCTTATCACCTAATTCTGTAAATAATATTACAGATATAGATGCGGTAAACGCATCTACAAAACCATTCTTTCCTTTTCCATCTTTGGCTTCATCGGTATTTTGTGAATTTTTTGCAGCATCAAAAACGTTGTCATTGTTCGAGTCTTTATCAAATGGTGCCATATTCTAAAAATTATAATAGTAAAAAATAGAATAATAGAAAAATAATTAGAGTTGATAAATACTTACAGTCTGTACACCAATTATGTCGTTATTGTCATCGTCTAGTTTTGGTGCCACATCTGCTAGACAAATTGTGGAAAATGTAAGCACGGCTATCAGTGCCAGAAACATGTGTAGCTTCGCCGCGCGTTTCAAGTAGACATTACGTCTCGTTGTGTGCCAAAAATATGACTGATTCTGTGACATATTTTAGGCAGTATTTGGATTAAATTTATAAATATATACAAATTGGAACTATACGATACTAGTATCACAGTTCGAAGAACTTTCACTTTCTAATATTGATAGGAATTCACTTAATGCTTCAGTAATTATTCCACTGTGCTGGGCACCTGAAAGAGTAATAAGAGAATGAAAACATTTAAAACAATTATATGAGTTTTTCGATTAGTATCTATAATAGTGCTGTGACGTCTTTAAACGTTTACGGTTTGATAATGATAAGAAATATGTGTGCTAGATAACGGGTAGTTGACAAGTTATGAATATACATAAACATATTGACTAGTAACAGTTAAAACCACGCATAGTTGACTTTACCCAATCGAAGTAGAATCATGTTCTTGTGTTTAAAATTAATTAAATGATTTCGTTTATTACACACATCCAAATTTATTTCTTAGCTAATGTTCAATAACATTTGTTTTCTATTTTCTGTTTTTGTTCTATGTCTTATCTTAAACGACGTGACCATTACTGAAACACATTCCTATTGACTATGTTTTGATTACGTTTCTAATTAATTCTTATTTACCCAAATTGATTGATTTAAAGTGATTGCCGTTGCATGTGAAGATTTATATGACCTTTAGAAAAAGATTGTGGAATGATTTACAGAACTGCTCGTCATGCCCAATGAATAACTTATCAGATATGTGCAGTGATAAAACCGGCAAGTACGGGTAAATAAAATTCTCGACTGTTTATTTATTTTTAGTAATAAAATAATATTTGATTAATCACTATAACCACTATAAATGCTATAGAAGCATAAAGATATACAAGCACACAGCCAAGTTTAAATTCGTTATTCAACCATATGAGCACAGATAAATAAAATGTATTATAAAAGCAGCTTTACTCTATAGAGAGCTTTGTACAATTCTCCATATATGATAATAAAATTCATTGTAAAACTATTAAAAAATAAATAAACAAATAAGTACGAAAAAATATCCAACACAAGGGTATAAATTAGTAGAATATAAATAAGTCCAGAAAATGTTAGCGAAATGCAATAATTTCTCTCGGATTCTTTTTTCATTCTCAATAAAAATTAATGCCTTATTTATATGGGCAAAGAAATTTGTTTAACGTTATTAATTAATAAATAAATATTACATATAATATATTGAATATAAATAATTAATTACTTGTTTGCAAAATAGTTGCAATATATTATAAAAATAAATAAATATTAGAAATAATTGCTTAGTAGTAGTTGCTTCTATTAACATTTATATTTATATGAATATAAATTATATACTAATAAATTGCTTTTAAAAACGTTTACAGGTTCAAATAAAAAAGAATCAGATCTGTCATTCAGCTGTAATCACAATAAAAATAATACTTAATTTGGTTTCTAAGACTACTTTTTTTTGCTAACATAAGTTGAGTTTTTATAAATCAAAGATATATTAGGTATGTAAAAATAATAGGTAACATATGTTACAAAATAAAAACGATGTTCAATACCAGGGCTGTTCAAAGTGCGGTCTGAGAACCACATGTGACCCACGACATGTTAATAATCTACAACAATTACGCAAATTTTCATTTGGTGTATTGGTAAAACTACATTATTTTATTAAATTAATAAATTAATAAAACTATATTTAAAATTATGATAATATATTTATTTTTATCGGACACAACTATGAACATATGTATGTATTTGTTTCTGCGTTCCTCCAATTTGTATAATGATTTGTATTGGCCCGCAATTGCAAGTGGTCTGGACAGTCCTCTTCTATACAAAATAAACTGTATACAGATAACATATATTGGTTTAATCAGAGTAACGAGGCAAGTCAATGCACCGAAAACAGTCTGTGTGTATTATTATTAATAGAAAAGACAGTTAAGATTTACTATGCAGTCGTTGGAGATACTCCTAAGCTAACCATGACAAATTAAGACTATTAACCCAACAATATGTTTTAGTTTTCACTCCTCAAGGAAAGTTAAATTGGAGTACTTGATTCGTTTCTTTGCAATCTTAAAGTACGAGCAGAGATAAGATGGGCAGAAGTTTCATAGAATCTAAAGGTGTTGGTGTTCCAAAACCCATCTTCGAAAGGTGATAGTTAGGAGTATGTTCAATCAAAAAAAGAATTGATTAAGCTGAGTTCTGATCTATTTTAACTGAAAAACCACTCATTTTTATTACGGGTTCGAATAAGCTGTTTGAATTGCTTTCGATCTTTAAAGTTGGTCCAGACCTTTTTGAAGTAAAACTTAAACTGTATGTTTCTAAATAATGATGCAGTCTGATAAGTTTTGTTCATTTACATGGATTTATTCCAATCACTTTAGCAAACTTGTTAGCTGTTTCTTAAATGCAAATTTCTAATGCCCAGGTATTCAGACAAGTGTTATTTGTAGTGTTATTACTAGTTTAAAATCATTATACATAAAAGTAACAGGTTCTAAATTAGTCAAGAAAAAGTGCTCTTTTAACGAAAAAAAACATATTCCTATTACACATATTTCTTAAATTTGAACTCCTGCGACTATTTTTACTCATGTTTTGAAACCTGAAGAATTATTCTTAAGAGATTTACTACCAGAGAACATATAAAAAACGATTAAGAGAATTATTTTGAAGTTAAAATGTTTTCATATGGTCAAGAAAAAGTGTTGTTTTACTAAAAAAAATATCCGAGTGCAAATTTTCTAACAAGTTTTTCCTTAAGTTTGAATGTCTGCAACTATTTCCTATTTTGAAACCCAAGAATTGAACAAAAAAATTTACCATCAAATAGCAACTAATAGTGAAGAGAGAGTTTTATTTTGATTGTTGAATAAATCATAATATTCGGTTGGCTTGAATAAATTAGAGTATTATTAAATTACATGTACAGAGGTAAAAGGAATAAAGAAATAAATAGTATCGACTGTATTGAGCGATAAAAATAGCCAAATAAAATAAAAAGTTTTACTATGACTTTTTAACAATTTAAATTTAATTTACACAAAAACATAAAATGAATTTTACAAGTTCAGTTCATTAAGAAAGTCCACTGAAGAACAGCTCAAAATTGCTCCAAAATAGCAAAAAATAATTTTAAAATATATGTTGTTGTTGCGATGGTGCTCTTCTTTATTGAAATTCATTATAACGATGCCTTTAATGGCAGTAGATGAGGGGCTTCATGTTAGAGCTTAAGAATAGCATAAGGACGAAAATACTTAATTGCGCTGAGAAATTCGGACGTGCCGAATATGGCACGAATTATATACATTTTTTAAAGATTTACATCTTTAGATAGCAGATCAAAACAAAAAAATATTAATATATAATTACATATTTATACGTTATATATTATAAAATAAATTTACTTGGTTTAATTGCGAGTATAAAAATTTGTTAAACTGTAAGAATTTATTTAATTAATATCAATAACTGCACGTGTGATACTATTTGATGACTTTAAAGAAAAATGCTCTTATGTTTATTCACTCAAATATAATTTAAAATATTATAAATTAAATGATGGTAAAAAAATTCTTATCGGGTAAAAAAGTGTTTTTAATATAAAAAAGCCAGTTGAAATTCGGTTGAAATGGCAACGAACTCAAATCGAATTTATAAAATGTATTTATTTTCAAATTGTTGCAATATATGTACGTATGGTAGTATAAACATTTTTTTAAAAAATATTTTGTGGTTTAATTGGGTTTAACCAAAATGTATTTAGCTTGATTCTTTCATTAGTAACATTTAACCATATTTTTTACTTCATAATTAAATTTAATTTCCTTGCTTAATTGAAATAAAAACTAAGTCACGGACATTAAACATTTTCGTATGATGTTTATTTATTCTGATATATATATTTACTTAAATATCTTTTCATATGTATTTGCTTAGTGATGTTAATTATACACAATACAAATTTTTGTTTTCTAAAACTACTTAGTCATTTGAATGAAAAACGTGAAAATAATTAAGCAAATGTAAATAATGATACCTAAAATAATTCTGTATAAGATATTTTAAGTAAAAAGAATATTAGTTAAGAGCTTAATATAACGAATATGAATATGAATATGATTTGGGATTTATCATTTTTAGGTGAAGCACAGCCAAAAATTTTGTGAAGAACACTAAATCTTATGCACACAATCATATAAATGTAATCTTCGTCATTGTATAAGCCAACTGTTTTAAATCCTATAAGTTTATACGATCTCATTAAATATAATTATTCTAATATTAAATTATAGATTAAGTAATAAAGGAATACGTAATGTAGTTGAAAATTTTTGAATTATATACAAACCAATACTATTATACGAGAAATAGTTATTTGTTTTTATAGTGAAAAGCACAATATTATATGGTATATAGTAAGTAAATTCAATTTCCAAAAGTGGTAAAGTTCATATTCATTAGACCAGCAATATTTAAAAAGGATAGAAGGTAGTTTTAGTTTAATTAATTTCTTTAGATATATTTTGAACTGGTTTTCTGAGTAAAATCCAGTGGAACTAGTATATGGTATATCTCTTCAATACTATTTCCTTTTGTAGCGCTATCATGTTTCTATTTCATTCGATTTGCTCAGACTCTGGAGAGAATACAGTAGATTATCGACATTAGAACAAACGTTGCTAAAACAATTTTTATATTATTCTGATCATGAATACACTAACACAGTTGCGCACATAATCTAGGAAGTTTTTTTTGAACTAAATTGAATTAAACTTTAAAGGGTAATTTTTTTACTATCATGTGAAAGATTATATTATAAAAACTGACTACAGCTAAAGCTGGTAATATATTCCATATAATTGAGCTACAGTGAGAGTTTCCAGTTACTGTAGTTCAATCGTCCGCTGGGCAGTACATATGTTTGACACTTGTCAGACTATAAATACTTTGCTAAATATATTAATAAAAAAATCCCAATACATATATAATAATATTATTTTATTAATATAGTAATATTATGAATCGT